GTAGGCGAGTTGTAGGCTTGATTTACACGCTACGACTCGAGTTGTAGGATGGCGCGAGCGTGTTGTATGCGACAGTTGTAACGTATGTTGTATGTTGTAACGTTTAAACCGGCCTTAAATGTGTTGCTCGATTCATGTGACCATGTGTCATCTATAGTTTGAAAGGTTTAGTTTGGTTAAAAAGAATGAGAAGGATAGAGGAAGCTAGAAGGAGAGTAAGAAAAAAAAGATAATGTGCATACAATCTTTCATGACATGATGTTTAACCTTTTTTGCCCCGCGCACATAATGATGCCCCATCATCGTCTTACTCATTCATTACCAGGTTATCAGGAAGATTTGTTTGTCATATTATGTACTTATTGACTGTATGGGAGGGCCGTACGTGAAAATATTTGCTAAATATTTTCCCGCACGGCCCGACCTAACTCAGTCAATAAGCATTTTATCATATGACATTAAATAAGAAAGATACATAAAACAAGCATTTAACTGCTAGAAGAAATGAAAATTCAAAAACTGAAGAGTTTGAAAAACGTTTTCAAAGTTCAGATCGTTAAATGGACATTTAACCTGTACAAACACTCAAGAAAACCAGGTTATGAATACTTTGAATGCACAAGGAGCCGAGAGACTGAAAAATATCCTGATCTTCGAAACTGGAAGAAAGCTGGCAGTGCAGTACTTGGAAAACTTGTTTTATAGTTGACCCTGAACTAAAAGTGAAAACTTGACACTTGTAGTAGTATTTTGTACTCGTAGTTTCGGGCTATTGGAAAACAAATTACGGGAAAACAAAATTACCGTAACTGAGCGTATAATTGACGATGGTAGTTTGTAACGTAAGCTTAAGTTTCATAATGCTTACAATATATTTGTTCATTCTTGTTAGACTATGAAAAATGTTTAAAATTATTTTTTGACTTCTCTAACGCCTTCACGGGTCTAGCAAAAAGCTTCTAGTTTAGCGAAATAAGGCTGTGTTCAGGGGGGGGGGGTGAGGCAGATGAAATGTTTAATCTTTAAATGACAAAAAAATATCAGAGCTCCTGATGTTGGAGTTGGAGTTGTGATGACAGCTAGTTAAGTCTAAGCAAAAAGCAGTACTCATGACTAAAGCCAAAGCCAAAAAGTCTAAGTATTATGTTTGGTGGACTGACCATGATGCCGGTTTAACGTCCGATTATGATGAGTGTATGAAAAGTTATTCAGGAAAGCCTAATGGCCGAAACAAAAAGTTCGATTCAGAAGAAGAAGCTCGCGAAGTTTTAGAAGAGAAACTAAATCTGATAAAGAAGAACTCTCAGGACAATGAAGAACATATCCCTCCATTTTCTAGCGACGGAACACATGAAATTCAAGAAGAAATCCAAGAAGATAGTCAAGAAAATGGTCAAGAAGATAGTCAAGAAGTGCAACAAGAAAAAGAACAAGATTGCGTAAATACTGCTTGCAGTCAGTCGTTGCTGCAAACTCAAGCACCTTCTGAATCTCAGCAGTTTAATAACAGATTAGATGAATTATACGAGTCGATGAATACCCAAAAACTCGTAAATGAGAAACTGGAGCAAGCTGTTACTAACATCACAATTGAAGGCAGTGAAGTATTCACAGATCTAAAAGACTTCGAATGTAGAGTTTCAAATATGTTTAAAGAAGTAAAACATGAGTTTCTCAATGAAATTGACTCACTTAAATTTTCATTGAAAGATGTGACAGA